CTGGACCAGAACCGTGATCTTATTGTAGCGAGTGCCTATATGAGACCACCACCGCAAGTAACGCAATCCTTCAGGCGGTTAGTAAACTGCCTTCCAGCCTCGACGCCGCTCCTGCTGTGCGGGGATTTCAACATGCATCACCCACAGTGGGAGCCATTCCTGGAGTCTTCTCCAAGCGAGGTTGCTGCAGAATTTTTAGAACTGTGCACGGATGCGGGGCTCACCTTGGTTAACACCCCTGGTGAGATCACTTATGCCCGTGGCGCAAGAGAACGATCCTGTATCGATCTGACATGGTCAAAGCATTTGACTTTGTCGGATTGGTCAGCTTCCGTGTCGCCGCTTAGTGATCATTACATGCTGACATTCACGCTGCATCAGGCGTTTAAGGATACCATACCTTCGGCACCTAGGATATTCCACAGTTGGAGGAAGTGCAAGTGGGATTTATTCGTCAAGGACCTCGACGCACAACTTCCGGCATACGACTATAAAAAGCAGTCCACCGGCATTAAGGCTTTCACGAGAGCGCTTATAACTTTGTATCGACGACATTGCCCCCGCGGCATGCACAAGGACGGTCCCAGGCTTTGGGACGACACTCTCATGGAGGCAGAGCGGATTGCCACCGACAGCAAGGCCCGCTATCTACAGTCACCGACGCCCGACCGTGAGGCCGAAATGCAACGGACAAGGAGTCAATTCTTCCTTCTACTCCGAGAGCGCTTGCGCAACACGTATCTACGCCGCATCAGCAAGTTAAATCCAGGCGAGCCACTCGCATGGAAATACATTTCCGGACGAAAAAGGGCATCACTTCCATCTCCCACATCAATTTTATTAGGAGGTGGTCAACACACTTACAAAACAGCAAGGAGAGCAGCGAATGCTCCCAATCGCATCTTTTTTCCATTTCACCCCTCTCACAGGGCAGTAAGGCCTTCCAAAGGCATCAACAGACAGAACACATCTTTGAACATTAATGCTTCTTTTCTTTTTGGGCAGCAGAACAACAACGAGTCTGCCGCTACATTTACATCAGGGTTTTGTCACTCCCCTCTTGATGCACCTTTTAATCAAACGGGACTGCTTGCTGCGCTACGTACTACGCCGTATGGCAAGGCCCCGGACCGGATGAATTCTACAGTGAGGCACTGCGACATATTTTGTCAAAGGGCCTCCGATTCCTTCTTCGTTGCATTAACCACAGTTGGACGACCGGTGCGATTCCGGTTGAGTGAAGACGCGCCACCATCGTTCCGCTCTTAAAACCCGGTAAGTCGCCGGAACTGCTTGAGTCATATCGACCCATCAGCCTTACTTCCATTGTGAGTAAGGTTGCTGAGAAAATGGTACTGAAGAGATTGCTTTGGGTGTGGACACCACACCCCCACCAGTATGCATATCGTAGTGTGCGTACCACGACGATGCAGCTGGCACACCTGACACACGAAGTGGAGCATAATAGAAATCACTATTTCCAAGTGAGCCTTCCCAAGAAGAGCGGTATTGGCAATCAACTCCACTACAGACCCCATCGGACCCTGCTGGTGTTGGTTGATTTCAGCAGGGCCTTTGACTCCATAGACCATCGAGTCCTCAGTCGCTTGCTGGCTAATATTCCGGGGGTGAATTGTCGAAGGTGGCTTAGAAACTTTCTATGTGGTCGCTACGCGAAGACACGAGTTGGTCGCAGACACAGCGATCGGCGTCCCATGCTGCGAGGAGTTCCTCAGGGGTCCGTGCTGGGACCATATTTGTTCTCCCTTTACGCACACCCACTTCTCAATCTGCTGAACAGCTTTGCGGGTGTCACGGCCGACATGTATGCGGACGACCTCTCTATTATCGTTAAGGGGCAGTCCCGGGAAGACGCCATTCCCACTGCCAACATGGTTCTTGAAAAGACTGCATGCGTGGAGTCAGGAAAATGGCCTGGCCATCAACCCGTCAAAGTGTGAAGCTGCTTGGTTCACACTCTCCACGCACACGGAGTCAGATTATGATCGTGAAGGAAGGTGGCCCCTGGTAGTGGCTGGATGTCAAATCCCAGTCATGACCCTGGGGGCATCGCGAACTACGAAGCTTCTCGGCATGGATCTCGTTCCACGACTGACGCTAAATGTGGCGGCCACCAAGCAATGCGCTGCCACTTCGCAACGGATATCGCAGCCACGCTGCATAGCGCACAAAGAGGCGGGACCATCTCCACATGACCTACGCACGTTCGTCATTGGATACGGTGCCTCCAAATTACGCTATGGCAGCGAGCTCATATCGGCAGTAGCGACGGATCCAGCGAAGAATGAGATGCAGAAGACGTACGCAACTCTGGCACGCATTGTCAGCGGAGTTCCGAGCACTGTCGACCCGGAATCCGCGCTACTGGAGGCTAATATGCCGCCGCTCCACGTCCTTTGCCTGCGTGCACGGCTCTCAATATTTGAGAACACACGCGCATGTCAGATGGACTGGATGCGGAGACCCCCGCCTGAGCCACCGCCTCGCGCCGGTTTCCGCATCTCGCCATTATCTCGGGACGAGCTATATGCCTTCGTAGACGCATACACAAAGGACTATGGCATCACCGAGAGCTCACCACGCGAAGAGCGGTTCTTTCGCAGCTCCATTCCTCCCTGGTTTGCGGCCTCCGCTCACCGGGCCACCATCGGTGTGGAACTTCCGATAGACCTCTCAATAACTGACGAGGAAGAGCTGATACGGGAAAAGCGCAGAGTCAGCGAAGAGGCTCCAGCGCTGCACAGCCATCGTTCGTGGATACTTGCGACCGATGGCGGTGTCGACGTTCCCAAGTCAGCGGGGGTTGGAATACTGCTTTCATCCCTCAACTCATCGGAGATAATAGAAAAGGCCAGCATAAACTGCGGTGCACGCCCATGCAGCTACAGGACGGAATCCCGTGCGCTGCTTCTAGCCCTGGAGAAGCTGATGATTCCTCGTATCCGCCACAGGCGTAAAACCCTGCTTGTGGTTACGGACAGTCAGTCTCTTCTAGCGGCTCTAAACAAGGGCCCGCTCAGTCAGACAGACTGGACGGAGGATCAGATCTGGCAGCGTCTCTTGACACTGACGTGTGCTGGCTGGTCCGTGCACCTGCAGTTTTGTTACGGAAATTGTGGAGTACATGCTAACGAGCTTGCAGATCAGCATGCGACGCAGACTATGGCAACCGGACAATACACGGAGCAAGGAATCGCACCTTTATGGCATACGGATCTGCTGACATGTTTTACTACCCAGCTCACTGACAAGTGGCGTAGTACCATTCGTCAAGACACTCATCGCTACTTGCTTTGCGGCACAAGGCCATCCGATCTCAGCGGTAAGGACCCGACCACTCAGGAAGTTCTCCACCGTCAGGAACTGGTTCACCTCGCAAGGGCAAGGTGCGGGGAATCTGAGCTCTGGGGCCGACTATACTGGGCCGTGAGAGATTGCACGAACCAATGCCGATTCTGCAACATCTCACCGGAACAGTCTGCATACATGCGCTCTAACAACGATCCAACTGCAACTGGGACGGACACTGTTCCCCCGTCGGCAAGGGACGAAGACGTCTCTCCAGTAAGGAGACGGACCGTCACATGCCGTCGGAAGGAGAAATGTCCGCACTGTGATTCTACATTGACGGGATTCTCGGGTCTCGTCAGTCACTGTCGGTCATTTCATCCGGAACATCCTCCACCGCTTCCCGAGCTCAAATGTGATTTCTGTGACATGGTTTTCCCCACACGGAGAAGCACCGCACAGCACAGAAATCGCTGCGCACACAACCCAGACGCCACACGACATCGAAACAGCCGTGCCAGGAGGCGATCTCTGCTGCCGCAGGATCAGCCAGCTTCCACAAGCACGCCAATCGGCCCGCAGGAAACCTTGCACCATCTGCTTCTAGAATGTCCAGGCGCCTTGGCTGTGCGCCGACGGCTGGGCATTGAACAGGACCTTCGCCTCGGAAAGTTCTCTCAATGGCAGCTGCTTCATAGCAGGAAACTCATTTTGCTGCTCGACCACCTCTTCGACACCCAGATGGCATTGTATAGCTAGACGCGCTGGTAAGAGTAGGAAAAAAAAATATAATGACCTCGTGACGTCCAATACCACCGATGTGTACGGGCGATGGGACTGCATCCATGGTCCTCGAGCACACGCCCCCGCCACTAAGGAGCCCACAAACAGCGGTGCGTGCAGCAGCGCCACACAGACCACATCTTCTTTAAACAAAAAATAAAGAGAGTGGAGAAGTCTGGTTCGAAGGTGACTTGTCCTTGCCGACGGTGAGCAGCGGCGAACGCATCACCTCGTGTGTGGACACACCACTGCTGCTTCTGCTTTTGGGACTGTGTGTGGTTGTGGCAGTGTTCTGAGCCACGGAGTGTGGAGTTGCGACTTCTCACGGAGAATATTTGCCGCGTTCCCTGCGGGCTTTCTTTTTTTGGTGTTCTTTTAATGTTGTTTACATGGAACAATGGGAGTACCTTTTTCTTTTGTTTTACTTAATGCTCAGTTGCTGCGCACCGTCATGAGTGAATTGTTTTCCCTCTTGATTGCTTCTGTTGCCTACACGCGGTACAGGCCCCACGGCTGTGCGCTCCACGGACGACACAAAAGGAGGAGTGGAGAGACAGGCCGGATGCCGCATGAAATGTGTGGGATTGTGGAACAGTAATATTTTTTTTCCTTGTGTAGGTACTGTACGCATGTACATATAAACACAGTCCTGCTTTGCTGCATGGCGTATGAAATGATGATTCTGCTGAAGTGTATTTTTTTGGAGGAGGAGACTCCTGTTGGGCACTCAACTACTTTTTTGTTTTGGTATTGCTTTTTTACTTCTGGTGTGCAGGTCGGTGTGCGTTCCTCTGCAGGGCTGCTGCCGTTGTTTACGGTGCGTGTTACTGTGTCTCTGCCTTTTGCTTTCACTCTGCGTTGACGTGTTGTTAGTTTGTGCTGAAGGCTACACGCAAGTGACAGGAGTGATGGCGATGATGATGACTGGCCGTGTGCTGCTGGTGTGTGCCCTCTGCGTGCTGTGGTGCGGTGCTGTTTTTGGACACGCGATGGAGGATTACTGCGGTGAGGGTGGAGGGGACGGTTTGAGGCACACGAGTAATGGTGGCGATGACGGCGTGTCTCTAAAGGCGGACTGCGTGTTGTTATCGACTCGAATGGCATTAATAAAGGCGGTTGAGGCTGCAGAAGCTGGGGAAGATGAATTGAGTGGTCCAGAAACATCTCAGGATGCGGAGGAGACATTGCAGGATAATACGGAGCGCAGTGCAGCGGCTGGTCCAGGAAGAGATGTTGTCGCAATTCCACCACCAACAACACCGCCGAAGCCCGAAGAATCAGGCACAAAAGGACAGCAGGGGAAGCCAGGGGTGTTGGGTCCAAATGATGGGGAACACACCGACAGTAAAAACAATAGAAGTGAGCCTCATCTCGAAAAACCAAGAACTGATCAGTCTTCTTCATCCTCTGGCAGCCTTGACCCTGAAAGTGCCAAAGAACTCTCTTTGAAAAAGGAAAACAAGAGTGATGAATCCTCCGATGAGACACTGACGGAAGAAGAAGAAGAGCATATAAATAAGTCTGACAGTCGTGAATTGGTGCCAAAAAAACAGCTAAACGAAATACAAGAACTAAGAAAAGGAAAAATGAGTCATGAGGCACCAACAGAGACACATGGACGTCCAGCCAACGACGCAGAAATACAAACGACAACACCACCGCCACCACCAGCAACAATGAATGGACATTCCAGCACTGAGGATTTACCACCCGTGCAACCGCTACAACGCGTTCAAGACGACCATGAAGAATCAGGGCCACCTTCACCCACGGCAAACGGTGATGCCGCCAATAATGAAGCTGACAATAGCACTGAAGAGGGCATCCCGAACAGTGATCAAGCAGCTGATGGTGCAGGGACAGCAGAGGGAAAACAAAATGAAAATAAAGATGCCAATCCGAAAGAAACACCAGTGACGGCCGCAGCCATGAAAAATACAACGGCAACGACTGGCGACAGTGACGGCAGCACCGCGGTCTCCCACACCACCTCCCCTCTTTTGCTTCTTCTTCTTGTTGTTGCGTGTGGGGCTGCGGTGGTGGCCGTGTGAGAGTGAGTGTGAGAGAGAGCCGTGCACCGCCCGCACACACACTCGTCCTTCTCTGTGTGTGTGTCCCCTTGCATGGACTCTCGCCCTCACCTCACCCCACGAGGCACACACATAATGTGCCCGTTGTATATATGCATGCACACCCATGCAGGCCCGTTGGTGCTCTCTTTTGCACAACACGCACCGCTGCCGTCCTGCCTGGCTGCATGGGCGGAGCACCGTAACTGTTTCTGTTTTGTCCTCTTACGATTGTTTTAAGTGTTTTTAATTTTTCTTTGCTGTTTGCTTTAAAATATTTTAAATATTTTTCTTGTTTTTTCTGGTTTTGTGATTTTTTTCTTCATTTCATTTTTTTTTTTTTTTTACTTCTTCCCTGTTTGCTGTGCGTTTTTATATTCCTCATCTCTTTTTTTCCTTTTTGCTTTTGGGGCAATCACTATGGACGTTTTTTTCTTTTCTACTCATCCCTCTTTAATTGTTTGTTGCTGCACTCTTCCTGTGAGGGGTGCCGTGTGTTTCCGCCCAATTGCTCCACTCGCACACCCACGGACACGCTCATGACGACGGCCCTGTGCGCCTCGCCTGCTGCACGCATGAGGAGGGGCCGCGACGAACGGCGCGCTGAGGGAGCCGTGACGCGTGGGCGTGCGACGAGGGCCTGTGGGGCGGAGCACACATTTCTTCCCTCTTGTTTTGTTTTCGTCGCGGCCAGGGCTGGCAGACACCCGCAGCGCCACACACACAGCCACGCCCTGCCGCCGTGTTTTTCTTTAAGGATTTGTTTTGCTTTGCGTGTTCATTTCATGCGGTGGCGCACCCTTCGGTGTCGGCCTCGTCAGCATTTCTCTCCCCTCCGATGATTTCTTTTTCTTTTGCTGCGCTCACTCTCCCGATGGAGTGACGCGACTGCCGTCATGTCTGCGTGCTTCTATCAGTCCCCACACACGAGTGACTGTGCTCTGCGGGCCGCACTCACGCGCCGATGAGAGGGCTGAGGGGAGCAGCAACACGCAGATGACCCCATGAAATATAAACGATGTGCGGACACGTGGAGGGTCGGACGGTTGAAGCACACGCAACCATCTTTTTAATTTTCTTTTGCGGGCAAAATACATGCAGACAGTTTGGTGTGGCCACACGGCAGCCAGGCGATCTTTTCTTATTTTGAATTTGTGTGGAGCAGTAATGGACGATTTCTTTTCATTTATAATTATTTTGTGTGATGGGGTTTACATAAGACGAAGGGGACGTTTTTTTGTTTTCAATAAATGTTGTGTGAATTGCCGCTGCTTGGGATGCAGTGCAGTCATGAGTTTGAGCGGTCTTCTTGTTGTTGTTTCCGTTATGCGTCTCCGCTGTACATTTTTGTGCGTCCCTCCACATACTCTGCTCCCTCTTTTCTACTTCTTTGCTTTGTGTTGCTGCAGGCACACATAACCACACACACACAAGATGCACATTGCAGTGGATTTGGATGCACCTTTTGTAGTGCATGCTGGCGGTTGCGTGTGGCGGCTGTTGTCTTCTTCTGTGGCCATGAGGAGAGGGAGAGAGGGAGCGCACCCCGAGTCTATTTTCCTGCGGGTGTGATGCACCGCGTGTGACTGCGCTGAGTTGGGCTCCGTGTCCCATTGATGGCGGGATGGCAGGAAATTTTTTGCCGCGTGATGGATGGATGAGGGTTCGCTTGCTCCGTGTGCGTTGTGTGGTGGCCGCGGGGTTTTGGACATTTCCCTGGGGCTGCGGGAATGAGCTGGGGGAGATGGTGGTGGATGTCTTCTCCTCCTGCATGGTGGGTGGCTGCTGGTGTTGTTTGCCTTCGTTGCGTGGATGCCGTCTCGTGGTGTGTGAACTGTGCGGCTGGGCCTGCTGCCCTCTCCTCATCTTGTCTGCGCTCTCTCGCTGTATCCGCGGTGCTCCGTCCCTCTCCCTCTCGTTCCATTCTTTTCCTTCCGTCTCACCGATCAGCTGACTGACACCGGCGACTCCACTACGGGCGATGATGACTGCGATGGTGACGGTGCGGCGCCGTGCTGGTCGTTGCGCTCTTGTGCTGCTGCTGCTCGTCCGTGTGCGTGACGGCGACAGGAGACGATAATAATGATAACAGCCGTCCTCCCAGCCCTGAGCCAGGGAAACCGGATCCCACAAAAATATGCCTGGTGCATTACAGCCATATGGTGGGGAGACCGGTGTGCCACAGACAGAGAGTGGGAGAGACAACGAGGAGGGTTTGAGAAGTCCAGGACCTTCGTTGCCAAAGGAAGCAGGCACAGCCATCACTGGACAGACACGAGTTCCGCCAGAGTCACTGAGTTCGGCTAACGATAATCCAGAGCCACCAGGTTTGGCAACTCAGTCTCCACACACACACACAAGGTGCGACCGGTATGTCAGATGCACAAAATAAAAGGCACAGTAAAATACACAAGGCGATGAGAATCATAAGGCACCGACATCAAATCAGAAGACCAAAATGCCAAACACGACGACGACCACTGCGCCAGAGGCACCAAGTGATACGGCTATGAATGCAGAGGCGCCAACCACGACGACCACCCGCGCACCGTCACTTCTTCGCGAAATCGACGGCAGCCTCAGCAGCTCTGCGTGGGTGTGTGCCCCGCTGCTGCTCGCCGTATCCGCGCTGGCGTACACCACTGTGGGCTGAAGAGGTGTGTGCGGGCTGTGCGTGCCAGCACTCAACCACGGGGATTTGTGCACTTTTTTGCTTTATAGCGTAATATGTAATAGAAACCAATGATCTACTTTTGCTTCATTTGCTCCCGCTGCTCTGATGTGTGCTCCATGTTGCTGCTTCCTGTATCCGTGACGTTGAACGCATCCCGGACAAACTCACACCACAGAGACAACTGTTTGTGTGGACGCTTGTTTTTCTGCTTGTGCATGCACACTGTAGGCTTTTGGTGAAGTTTTTTTTGTGTGTTTTTTTATTTTTTTTTTTACTTTTCTTCTGTTTGCTGTTTTGTTATTAATTGTTTTACGTGTTTTTTTTTCCATGTTTACTTGCTGCGGGGCCTTGTTTGTTTTCTTTCATTTTCTCAATGTTTAATTTTATTTGTGTTTCCTGCTCTTTTCCTTTTTTGTCTTGCTCCCCCGCCATCCTCCTCTTTGTTGCCTTTGGGGGCAATCACTATGGACGTTTCTTTTTAGGAGATTGTGAAAAGGATGATCACGGGAGAGCTGGCTAGCTTAATTAATGTATGTGTCTATCCTGATAAATGAATGCATTCTTTATGATACTTTCTACCGTATGAATCTTTTGGGAAGAACGCGACTTTGTAGGGGCAGGGAGCCGATAGGGGCCGGATAATATTTTTAATTTTTTTTTTTTACAGACACACAGCCAGGTAAGTTTAAGGAAATGACTTTGGTTCCCTACACACCCTCCGAGTGGTGCGATATTGGCGCCCGTCTCTGGGACATGGTGTCCCAATGTGGCGAGACCCAGGTGCAGATGACGTTCATTGATGGTAACCAGATGTCGGATGAGACGGTGACCGTGGCCCCATCACCCACAGGCTTATGCTTGTTCCATGGACCTGTCTCTAAAGCATGGCAGGATTCTACTCTCTTTGGACATATTGCGAATCTCCGGGCGCCTCAGATCCCTAATTTTGAGACACAAGCGCTCCTGCCCGCTATGGGGGCAGCCCGGGAGTTGGGGCACCAACAAGGGCCCATCACTGCTGAAAGGGAGCGAATAAATTTTGATTACGCGAACGCCGTCGCGGACGTGCAGAATCGAAATGCCCAGCTTAACTCGCAGCTTCAGGAGGCGCACATTAACCTATCGGTAAGGGAATCCACTATCGCCGGGGCCGGCAACCAGGTCCTAGAACTACGACAACAGTTGGAGGCCAATCGCGCCCAATTACGGGAGCGCGAATTCAACTTGGGAGTCCTCACTGGTCAACTCCAGGAACGGGAGGCACGCCATAATGCACAACAACCCGCGCGGTATGCGGAGACGGCGGGGCGGGACGAGTCCCCCGCTACTCGACACGCTGCCAACGATGGCGTAACTACAATACCGCATCAAACGAATATCTTGATGGCTGGAGGCGTGCCTAGCAGTGCGGCCCGACGCGGTTCGGCGGCTTACAGGTCCCCTCACGGTAATGCTGCGAGACCACATTTCCACCCACGCCGTCGCCCTCCCGCACTTCTCCCCTGGACGCCCGATTGCCTATGGAAGAGGACCGCAGTTTCTGCGCATTCGACGTCACTACGTGGCCCTCGCGTGTATGGAATGAGGGCGCCTCCGAAGTCGTTATCGACCTCCGGTGCGCATACCAATGCTGGCAACAGGACAACGAGCAGGTTAAACTTGCCTTTGGCAATTGGGTCGAGTGGATCAGCGCGCTGGAAGTCCTGCAGGATCCCCCCGATCGAATCATGAACTTGGGGAGGTCCCTACTGAATACATTCCGGATGCAGCTCACAATTGCATCCGATCCCGGCATCCGGCTTTCCAAACCGCGCGCCCGTCGACACACCGCCGTTAACCAGACGGACGCTTATGCCAGGGCTGCCCAGCTTTTCGTCGATCGGCGAGAAACCCAACGCACTTTGCGATGCCAACAATGTCATACCTATGGACACGATGCGTCTACATGCAATGTGCGCCCGAGAGGGAATTACTCACAATACAGGCGTCCATCAAAAACGGCCGAGGGGCCGCCGCACGCCGCTCATGAATGCTGGCGACGGGAGCCCCATCCAACCCGCCACCTCCCACCAATCTTCACAGGCAGCGCACCGCGCCGCCGATGCTCCATCCGATCTTTCAAATTGCCCGACGAAATCGTCGGGAAGGGCGATGGGGCTTATCCGCCAACGACGCTCGACTGCGGCACGACGAAGCACCGGCAGTTCCGCTTTGGGCCAGTTATATGAGGAGAGCGAACGAAGTCGCCCGAGAGATGTGGGCGCCGTCAACGTGGGAGCAGAGAATGTCCCTAGCGGGGCAATTCGCAACCTTTTGCCGCACGCACGAACGGACGATGAACGAGGAGAGCTGTGCGGCCTTTTTGATGGCAATCGAAGTCGCGCCATCGACCCGACTGCAGTACGCCAGGATGCTGCGGTCCATGTTGGAAATGGATCGAACCCCGCTGGACATGGTGATTCTGGGGTTACAAAAAATTGCGGCGCGGAGACGAAGCAAGCGCGCCTCTTGAGAAAGGAAGAGATGAATCAAGTAATCAGCAGCCGTACCGATTGGAAGGAACGTGTTGTTTTCCGACTTGCGTGGATGACGGCGAGTCGTTTGTTTGAGATTGCAGCCTTGACAGCCAAAAATTTTACAGTGAAGCCGGACGGGGCCTTAATTTTGGATTGGTCCGTCGCGCCGAAGACGGCGAGAGCGGATCCCCACCGCGCCTCGCGGTTTGTGAAGATACGGGGCAGGACGCTTTCGACATTATAAAGTTATGCAAGACACTTCAAGAAAACGAAAAGCTCACGAATCTGACGACTGCCCAAGTCGAACGAGCTTTGGCTCCTTGGGATGCCACGGCGCATTCCATAAAACGGGGAGCGTTGAGGCACGCTGCTCAGATCGTGGAGGCATACAATTTGGACCCACACGTGATCTCGCAGTTGGCGGAGCACGTCGACCCGTTTGACCTTCCCGAGAGCAAAGTTTGATATTTGTGGAGGTACACCACAATGCTGACCCAGGTGTCGTCGCTGGTCGCATTGGCGTGAAGGGAGAAACGGCGGAAGGGCAAGAACCCTGGCTGAGAGCAGTGGAGTGTTTTTTCCATGATTTTTATCACAATCATGCCGCTACAATAACGAGACGCGCCACAAGGACGCGTCTGGCCACTCCACAAGATGAACACGCTATCCCGTTACAGCAAGTCAACGTGCCCGTATTGAATCTAGAGTGGATTAAAAGTCGGTTGAACCCGGCCACCCTGGAGAGGCTCATGCAAGTTTGGGGAATCGTCGGGCGGTCCCCTCTCCCTCCGTCTTCCTCCGGTAAAGCGCGCGAAGGCTCACGGAGAATTCCAACCGCTGACGCGAGATTGTTACAAAAAGCAGGAATAATCGAGGACGCTTCGTCCACAATTACAGGCGGATGGATAATACCTTTCTCAGTTGTGGAGGAGAAAACCACCGGTTCACGACGACGGTGGATCGCGTGGCCACACGACAAGAACAGAGACGACCCTTATGAGGCTCATGCTCCTCTTTTACACATTTCCCATTATTTGCCGCCTGTGATGGTTGAGGCCGCTTCCTGCCTGGATTTAAAGGCATTCTTTTTTCAAGTCTCTTTACCGCGGGAGACTCGGCATCTCTTTCGATGCCACGTGGAGGACGGCACGCTGGTGGAGCTCACACGGCTCCCAATGGGATACAAGGCCGGCCCAGAAATTCTCCAGACGATTACTTCAGCAATTGCGGGGCTGACGACGGTGGTTCACCCCCTCCGGGCCGCACCTCCATCGGTGCGTGTCGACGTTTGGATCGATAATATACCCATTGCAGGGTCGAAAAGCGATGTGACATTGTGGGAGGCCCAAGTGCTTCGTAATGCGGACAGTTGTCACGCATCCTTGGGGGAAGAACGCGAATCGGGCGCTACGCATTACGACTTTCTGGGGGTGCAGTTTGATCACACTCACCAGGCAGTATCCCTGAGTGAAAGGTTTGTCCGCTCTGTACGCGCCATGCCGGCGCTCAATTCTTTAACCATCGCGAGAATGGAGGTTGTGGCGTCACGTTTTTTGTACGCGGCTGCCATTTTGGGCACGTGTTTGTGCGACTGCTACTTTTTCGTCAAGGCAGTGCGACGACGATTGTCCGCACTTCACCGGGGAATTGTGCTGGAGACATCCCCGGCGAACCTTCGGCCGGCAGTGGTTGGTTTGGGCGAGAGATTGCGACACACCATCGAGAACAATCGCAAGCGAATCATCAAGCCCACCGAGAAAGCATCGGCCGCCATCATCACGGACGCATCGCTCCATTGATGGGGAGCCGTTTTTATTCCAGACTCCGGCGACGTTAAAATTGCCGGAGGGAAATGGGAGAAGAAATCTTTTCTTATCATGCAGGCCGAGGCACGAGCGGTACGCTTAGCCTTATCGGCCTTTTCCGCCATCTTGCCATCCACCATGGACGTTTGGGTGGACAACACTTCGCTGCAAGGAGCGGCGAATAAAGGCAGCTCAAAATCACACGCCATGACATGGGAGCTGCAACGGATATATGAGTTTTTGGACTCTCGCGGAATACAGGCAACATTTGCCTACGTGCGGTCTGCAGAAAACCCCGCAGGCGGCATATCACGCGGTCGTGTTTTTACACTTCAGGACTTGGCGAAGGGGAGCGGCGGGGTCTGGTGGTTGGAGGACCCCAAAGTCTGCCAATTCGTAAGTAATAATATTTCAAATCCTAACTGAGGACAAAGGACCATGCTAATGGTCCACAGAATTCTATATATTGAATGAGAATAAAACATTGAAGCAATTAAATAAAGAACCTTTTTTCCTAACTTGTTTGGTTTACATAGATAATTTCAGGATCCGGCCAGCTCCCGGAAGATTATTCTCTATTATTTACATCGGATAAAAATAGACGCGCACAAATCCCCGTGATTGAGTGCAGGCACGCACAGCCCGCACACACAAGATGCACATTGCAGTGGATTTGAATGCACCTCTTTTGTAGTGCATGCTGGCGGTTGCGTGTGGCGGCTGTTGTCTTCTTCCGTGGCCATGAGGAGGAGAGAGGGAGCGCACCCCGAGTCTATTTTCCTGCGGGTGTGATGCACCGCGTGTGGCTGCGCTGAGTTGGGCTCCGTGTCCCACTGATGGCGGGATGGCAGGAAATTTTTTTGCCGCGTGATGGATGAATGAGGGTTCGCTTCCTCCGTGTGCGTTGTGTGGTGGCCGCGGGGTTTTGCCATTTCCCTGGGGCTGCGGGAATGAGCTGGGGGAGATGGTGGTGGATGTCTTCTCCTCCTGCATGGTGGGTGGCTGCTGACGTTGTGTGCCTTCGTTGCGTGGATGCCGTCTCGTGGTGTGTGGACTGTGCGGCTGGGCCTGCTGCCCTCTCCTCATGTTGTCCGCTCTCTCTCGCTGTATCCGCTGTGCTCCGTCCATCTCCCTCTCGTTCCATTCTTTTCCTTCCGTCTCACCGATCAGCTGACTGACACCAGCGACTCCACTACGGGCGATGATGACTGCGATGGTGACGGTGCGGCGCCGTGTTGGTCCTTGCGCTCTTGTGCTGCTGCTGCTCGTCCGTGTGGGTGTGACGGCGACAGGAGACGATAATAGTGATGACAGCCGTCCTCCCAGCCCTGAGCTAGGGAAACCGGATCCTACAAAAACATGCCTGGTGCATTACAGCCATATGGTGGGGAGACCGGTGTGCCACAGACAGAGAGTGGGAGAGACAGCGAGGAGGGTTTGAGAAGTCAAGCACCTTCGTTGCCAAAGGAAGCAGGCACGGCCATCACTGGACAGACACGAGTTCCGCCAGAGTCACTGAGTTCGGCTAGCGATAATCCAGAGCCACCAGGTTTGGCAACTCAGTCTCCACACACACACACAAGGTGCGACCGGTATGTCAGATGCACAAAATAAAGGGCGCAGTAAAATACACAAGGCGATGAGAATCATAAGGCACAGACATCAAATGAGAAGATGAAAATGCCAAATACGACAAACACTATTACGAATACAACAGAGGCACCTCGTAATACGGCCATGAATGCAGAGGCGCCAACCAATATAACGACCAGCGCACCATCACGTATTCGCGAAATGGACGGCAGCCTCAGCAGCTCTGCGTGGGTGTGTGCCCCGCTGCTGAGGTCGTCGTATCCGCGCTGGTGTACACCACTGTGGGCTGAAGAGGTGTGTGCGAACTGTGCGTGCCAGCACTCAACCACGGGGAATTTGTGCGCGTCTGCTGTGGTCTGATGTATAAAGTATGAGTAATTAGGATGGTTCCGTTTTGCCTTACTTGCTTCTGCCTGCTGTGTACTTCTCTTTACTTCCCACATCCGTTAAATCGAACGCGTCCCAGACAAACTTGTATGCACGCCACGCATACAACTGTTTGCGTGGACCCACTGTTGGGGATGGATGCATGCACACTGGAGACATTTAAGTGCAGGTCTCTGTTTTTGTGTTTTTACATTTTTTAGTTTCTTGCTGCTTGTTTACTTTTGCTTTGATTTTCCTTGTTGTGCTTTTTTTAATTATTTTTTTGCATGGCGTTGTGCGCTTTTTGCACTTTATTGGTTGAATATTTCTTACGAAATGCGTGCTGCTGCTGCTGGTGTTTTTACTGTTCTTTTTCTTGTGTGCGTCCTTCTATTTATTCTTGCTTTGCGTTGACGTGCTGTTAGTTTGTGCTGAGGGCAGCACGCAACTGACAGGAGTGATGGCGATGATGACTGGCCGTGTGCTGCTGGTGTGTGCCCTCTGCGTGCTGTGGTGCGGTGCCGGCGGTGGTGGACACGCGATGGAGGATTACTGCGGTGAGGGTGGAGGGAACGGTTTGAGGCACACGAGTAATGGTGGAGATGACGGCGTGTCTCTAAAGGCGGACTGCGGGTTGTTATCCACTCGAACGGCATCAATAAAGGCGGTTGAGGCTGTGGAAGCTGGAGAAGAAGGATTGAGTGTTCCAGACCCGCCTCAGGATACGGAGGAATCATCACCTGATAATAAATTGAACGATAATACGAGGTGCACTGCAGAGCCTGGTTTAGGAGGTGGCGGTGTCGCAGGTCAAACAGCAGAAGCAGCAGTGGTGTTTCCACACACGAGGTGATACGTTCGCCACTGCTCACCGTCGGCAAGGACAGGTCACCTTCGAACTAGACGTCTCTGCTCTCTTTGATTTTTTTGTTTAAAGAAGATGTGGTCTGTGTGGCGCTGCTGCACGCACCGCTGTTTGTGGGCTCCTTAGCGGCGGGGCGTGTGCTCGAGGACCATGGATACAGTCCCATCGCCCGTACACATCGGTGGTATTGGACGTCATGAGGTCATTAT